GTTTTTAGCATATCACCCTAGATCTATCAATAAAATCATACAAAACATACATGTAAGCATAGAAATCAACCACAACATACACATAATGATGGATCTTCACATTTTCTTGTATTCTCCCCCATAAAAACTCATAAAAATCGAAAATAAGGGGATATGAAACTCACCTTGGGTGTTGGTTCGGTTTTTGAAGAAAGAATAGAAGAAAGTTTGGTGATTTTTGGCCTTAGCACCCTTGATGAAGTTTTCGAGTTTATGAAGCTTTCTAAGGTGCAAAATCACGGTTTTTGCATGGATTAGGAAGGGATTTGATAGAAAAAAGAATATAAATCATAGATCCATGCATAATCTTACCTTAGATGATGTTAATCTTGCAAAAATCCCCTTGAAATCCTCTTAGAATTCTCGAAATTTTTGGAGAGGAAGGAGAGAGTTTCTTGAGAGAATTTTGAGAGAATTTGTGAGGTGTGTGTGTGTGTTGGTTATCCTCGGCCGAAACAAGAAGGGAGAGGGAGAGAGAGAAGGAAGAAAAGACCTTGAGGTGATGCTTGCATGGATGAATGAGATTTTGCATGGAGATCCTATGGGTAAAAATGAGGTGGCAACCCAAGGTCAACTCTCCCTTTTTCCTTGGGCTTGGGCCGAGAATGGGGAGAGAAGAAAGGATTTTTGGGCTTTTTGCCCCTAAGCCCAACATTAGAGGTAGTTTGGGGTGCTTATTGGCCTTATAAAATAAAATTGTGATTTTTATGCTTCATTAAGCTAGGTTAGGTTAAATTATGGATCAAAGCTTGTGATTTATTTCATTCTAGGTTCTACCTAGCCCAAAATATTGAAATAAATGAATGTGGGTCCAATTAGAGCCCAATTAGAGTTCTAAGTCCATGATAGTCTTATTGGAGGCTTATTGGTCCATTTGGATCCAATAAGAGAGTCCTAGTCCAAAGTGGACTTAAACAAGGACTTCTAGGGTTTCCAATTGTTTGGTGACTATTTGTAGTACTTGCAGGAAGTATTTGATTGAAGTTTTTGATTCACATTAGTTTGAATGTATGGATTACATGACACAAAATTTCCAGTTGTGACATCATCCCCCCGTTAGAGGGAATTTCGTCCCGAAATTCTGTTTGAAAGCTAGATTTGAGAATGCTAGAATAGGTGAGGGTACTTCTGCTTCATTTGGTCTTCGCGTTCCCATGTGAATTCTGGCCCACGCTTTGCGTTCCACCGTACCTTCACAATCGGGATGCGACTCTGCTTAGTACGCTTCACCTCCCTGTCCATGATTTCGATGGGTTCTTCGACGAACAGGAGATTCTCATTGATTTCGATTTCGTCAAGAGGAATGACAAGGGTTTCATCTGATAGGCACTTCTTCAGATTAGAGACATGAAACACGGGGTGTACACCATTTAGCTCTGCGGGTAGTTGCAGTCTGTATGCTACCGGACCAATTCGAGCAACGATTTCGAAAGGTCCAATGTATCGCGGGTTCAGCTTTCCCCTTTTCCCGAAACGTATAACCCCCTTCCAGGGCGAGACTTTTAACAGTACTCGATCACCGACCTGAAATTCTAAGGGTTTTCGTCGTTTGTCAGCGTAGCTCTTTTGTCGGTCACGCGATGCTTGCAGTCGAGCCCTGATTTGAACGATCTTTTCCGTGGTTTCGCGAATGATCTCAGGTCCCGTTAGTGTTTTGTCCGACGCATGTATTTTTGCTAGCTGGGTGTCACCTACTTCAGCCCAACATAACGGTGATCTACATTTACGCCCGTAAAGTGCTTCGAAAGGAGCCACCTTGATGCTCGAATGGTAACTATTGTTGTATGAGAACTCGATTAATGGTAGGTGAGTATCCCAAGACTTTCCGAAGTCTATCACGCATGCACGGAGCATATCTTCGAGTGTTTGGATAGTTCGCTCACTTTGACCATCCGTTTGAGGATGATAAGCGGTGCTCATATCAAGGGTTGTTCCCATCGCCTTATGAAGTGATTGCCAAAATCGGGACGTAAACCTACTGTCCCTATCCGAGATAATAGATTTTGGCACTCCATGGAGTCTCACGATTTCTCGTAGGTACAACCGTGTCAGTCTCTCCATCTTGTAAGATTCTTTGATTGGCAGGAAATGGGCAGATTTCGTCAGTCGATCGATGATTACCCATATGGTATCCAGTCCGTCCGACGTCTTGGGTAGCTTGGTGACGAAATCCATTGAAATCCCCTCCCATTTCCACTCGGGAATTTCCGGTTGCTGCAACAATCCTGATGGTTTCTGGTATTCCACCTTTACTTTGGCGCATGTAAGGCACTTGCTGACGTAGGTCGCGATTTCCGCCTTCATGTTAGGCCACCAATAGTGTTGTTTAATATCCAAATACATCTTATCAGAACCGGGGTGAATGGAGTATCGCGTCTTGTGGGCTTCCTTCATGACAACATCTCTAAACCCTCCCAGTTTAGGGACCCAAATACGGTTCATGAAGTAGTATACCCCATTCTCCCTTGTTTCTAGGTTCTTTTCCATCCCGCGCAATGCCTCGCTAGCTCTATTTTCCATTCTCATGGCCTCTGACTGGACCGACGCGATTTGAGTGGCTAGATGAGATTGAATGGTGATTGAGAGAGTTTTCGTACGACGGTTAGAGTACTCCTTCCGGCTTAATGCATCAGCTACTACGTTGGCCTTGCCTGGGTGGTACTTAATCTCGCACTCATAGTCGTTTAGCAACTCAACCCATCTTCGTTGCCTCATGTTTAACTCCTTTTGGTTTAAGATGTGTTGGAGACTCTTGTGATCTGTGAAGATGGTGCACTTTGTACCGTAAAGGTAATGCCTCCAAATTTTTAGGGCAAAGACTACAGCTCCCAACTCTAGATCATGGGTTGTGTAGTTCACTTCATGCGTCTTTAGCTGGCGGGATGCATAGGCTATGACTCTCCCACGTTGCATGAGAACGCAGCCTAAACCCTGATTTGATGCGTCGCAGTAGACTACAAAGTCTTCCGTTCCTTCAGGTAGGGATAGTACAGGTGCGCTACAGAGAGCTTGCTTCAAGGTTCGAAATGCGATTTCTTGTTTGTCTGTCCATTTGAATGGTACGCCCTTTTGCGTAAGCGAGGTAAGTGGCTTGGCGATCTTAGAGAAGTTTTGAATGAATCTCCTATAGTAGCCTGCTAATCCCAAGAATTGACGAATTTCCGTGGGCGTTGTCGGGATTGCCCAACCTTCTACCGCTTTGACCTTAGAGGGATCCACATGGATTCCATCTCGGCTGACTACATGGCCTAGGAAGTTCACGCTCCGCAGCCAGAACTCACACTTGGAGAGTTTGGCGTATAGCTTTTCTGATCGTAGAGTTTCT